CTCGGTGGAGCACGCACTGAAATAAAACACCACCTTTGCAATAATCTTGAATCCTACCTCAGTTGGATGTTTAGTGAGAGTTCAACCGTCGGCTTTGGGGGCTCCAGAAACGGCATCGCAGGCTACGCATTTCAAATTCGCTTGTTATCTCGGATTTAGATAATGATCCACCTTTAGAAGGCATAAAAAACTTAATCCTGAACGCAACGGGACAATCTGCGGCGCTGCCAAACGGTGCCTGGTGTCGGTTTTTACGGGGGGGAAGTAGCCTCGGCTCTCGGTGTGGCTGGTTATCCTGCTGTTTATTTACACGCTTCATAAACACTCCTATTCTTTTCCTCCTGCCAGAATTGAGAGGTGTGTATCAGTTTGCTTTTCCTTTTTTTCTTTCGCTTTTTGAGTGAGGCGGAGCCTTTGCCCACTTCTCTCTCTCACACACTCACACACACACACACACACACACACCAGATGAGAGACACTTCTTGCAGTTGATGGAAATGGGGCAGTGGGAATTTTCGAGAAGGCGATTTGTGGCTGTGATATCTGTCGTTTTTAACTAGACTGTTAGGTCTGTTCTTCTTTTTTTCCTTCTGCAGTAGTAAATCTTGGGTAATCCCGTTTCCAAAATATTTATTTTAGCAAAAATCTTAAAGGATAGGTTGAGATTTTAAGTTTATTTTAACACAGTACTCATATATATACCCATATCTGAAAGTGTTCCTGGAGCCTAGGTCTAGCTGAGGACACTGAATTCATGTGTTCTGTAAAACTATTTTTGTTCTTCAATTTGGGGATTGTTAGTGTGTAAACTCCTATAAAAGCTATTTCAAACACTTTGACTTGTAGTGTGTAGGGCTGAAACTAACAATATTTTAATGACCTGTTAGCTGATTAATTGCTTTGTCTATATAAAAACAAAAATTGTGAATAAATGCTATTTACAGTTACTTAGACCAAGGTGATATAGTTTGAAAGAATGAAACCAGAGAATTTTTGGTATTTTTTTGCTTGAGAGTGGCTGATATGATTAGATTTAATGTTGCTCTATGTTAAAACCACACGACTGGGTAATCCGTTTGCTACCGTTATTAACATTACATTTTTAATTTGAGGTATATTGTGTTGTTTTTGTGAAGTGTATTTTCAAAGCTAAACTTTTATGTCTAAAATCCTACCAACTGTAATAGTTTGTCTTGTATAGACCAATGGAACAATAGATTAAGCCGTCAGCTATACGAGTACTGGGTCCATCCTTCCTCTTCATCCCACAGGTGCAGATAGCAGCAACTGCAGCTGTGCCTTGATGTCATTCTTAAAACATGGAATCTATGCTCTCTCCTTTTTAGTTTCAGTCACAGCTGTTGTGGACCCTCCATTCATTCACACAGCAGTGCCGTCCATATTACACAGCACAGATGGCTGAGAGTGTCTTTGGATTTCCCGGTTGCTTCACTCTCTGCACAGTTTCTCAACTCTTCCAGTGTTGCAGCATTTGAATGGCACTTTCCACAAAGACAAAGAAAATCACTGCAAGCAAGAGTTAAATCATTTACATACCTTCTATTCTGCATCTTCCTCCAGCTTCTGTACCATCTACCCTGTGTGTGTGTGTGGTCCCAGGCCTGGGGGCTCCTGGCTCTGTCCTTGGAGCATCTTTTCCTATGGTCATTTTGTCTCCAGCACAATGTAGCTACCGGGCATGAACCCAAACACTTCAAAGACCAACACCAACCAACAGGGGACACCAAAAGAAGCATATGTTTGCAAAGGCAGTGAAGGGGATGGGTGACAGGACAAGGAAGAGACAGTCAGTTGTTGCTGAGGTTTTATCTGTAAGTAAATACATAAGACAGCAAAAACATAGACCATATAAATTCAATCAAACTGTGACTGACATTGTTCATTATTGCAAAATGACATGTATAATGAAGTATGTAACATACATATATTCTGGTGTCCTCAATTCATTAGCCATGTGGGGCAGTTATTCCCTTTTTTGCGTTATTTTCCACCTTTCTCGAGTTGATTAAATCTGCTTTATTGTTACAGATTTAATCCAACAAACACTGTTTGTTAATTATAACAATACCATTTGTTCTGTTTATTTTGGCTCTGCACATTTTAAAAGTAAAAAAAATGATACTGATTAGAAACAGACATAATGTAATACTTTGCAGTTTGTTCCACTTTTTTTTATTATACGCTCCAGCCACTATCATAAGCATCTGGTTTGACTAAATCAATACAGTTTTGTAGATTATTAAAATGTTCACCACATTATTATGATTTGCTTTTGTTTATACAGTAGTTGTTAGAAGATGACAGTTAACACACACACACAGCCCTCATCTGTTCACTGTACAGTGGGTATTTGAGAGGATCAGCAGTGTGCGACTGCATATTTCTGCAGAGAGACATTATTTCTTCCCTCAATTCCTCCTGGCAGAGATCTGAGTGTTTGACCTTTTTAAAATGCAAAGCGATTCTTCTACTCCAGAGAGTGAACGGGAGGCTCATGATTGCGCTAGTAAATTTGAGGGACTTAATGCAGTAACTCACAGAGAGGGAGAGCTGTTCTGCACCTGCTGTAGTCTTGACTTGGTTACAGAGATACAATAACACCTCCAAGCGTTATGTTAATCTTTAAAGACTGGTTATTCTTATACTGCTTCGCTCTTTACCTCATTTGAATAAATATTTCACTACAACCTTGAATCTGTCTCTCATGCTCACATTGTGTTTCCTCTTATTTGGTCCTGCATGCTTACTATAACACTTCACAGTCTCAGTCGCTTTACACTCTCTTACTATCAAATAACTTTTTTCCATTCAGTCTATCCATTCATCCATCAATTATTCCATTGAATAATCTGCTACTCTTCAGAATAGCCTTGTGTGAAACACTGTGGATAACCCATCGACCTCTAGTGGCATCACCTATGATTTTAATATCTCACATCCTTTCATAGCTTTCCTTCTTCTTGAGAAAGGGCAGTGCAACTAATATAACATCATCACCACTGCCAGAACACGTACCTTTGTCAGCAACTACAAAGTGGAGATGATGTTAAATCGAGTATTTAACAACTTATGACACTCTACTTTTAGGGTACTGTAATGAGCAGCTCATGGGACTATAATTTACATTTACTAATGATGTCACATTGGTAAGAGTGCACCATTGTACTGTATGTACCTCCTCCACTAAGTGTGCATATAGTTCAGCAGCAGACGGTCTATTAACAAGACTTTTGAGATGGCACAATATGATTCAAACAAAGCCACACAATACCGTTCTGATCACACTCAAGTCTGATTATATTCCATCCTGAGAAAGGCCTTTAAATGACACTGGGATACCTTCATGGTCTTATATACAGTATACGCCTCCAACATAAAACAAATGAGAACAGATTTACCTCTGTGACTAGAGAATATGTGTGCAAACAGTTAATTAGACTTGGTGT